TCGGAATGAATACTTTAAGGGAGTGCTTCTTACAGGAGAAGGTATCCTAGTGTAGTGCGATTTCCATTTCCCGTTCATAGGAGGATGCCTTTCACTGGAGGGAGTACTTCCTAGGTCCTAAGATTTTTGCCAACATTTGCCCACAGACAAATGAGATGCTTTTCACTGGAGACTCTGTCAAACCATATGTGATTCCTCAGACGCAATCGTGTCGTCGCTGGCAACAAGTGGAGCTCAGCTCTACATCTTTTATCTAGTAAGCTTTCCATGTGGAGAGAGTATTGATAAAGTGGGCAAACTTTCAAAGAAGATTGAATCGAGGATCCGTTTACTTGTGTGCGTGTTCTGCTTGTGTTTTCAGGAAGTGAACTCCAAATAGAATGTGTACAGGCAGAGTCTCTATAAATGTATAGATTCCACATTTGTAGCTCAACGTCACTCCGCTTTTAATTCGTCCCGGACTATAACGGGCAATGTAGAATGCCGACTTCACGGCCATGCAGTTCGACGTGTTGTAAATTTGTGCCTGGTTGAAACACTGAATGTTGCACACCCAGGTGCCTGTCAGTTTCACGTATCACTTCCACGTATCCTGTTGTTCAAGGTTCCAGCACAGTACTGATGTACAGCTGCGCCTGTAATAAAGAAAGATTCCTGTGCTGCCTGTGTTCCCGTACGCTTCGCGAGGGGATGCACGCCCCGGTTACATTTCAGGGGGATCGGGGGGGGGAGGTGGGGGTGTTTCCCGAAACCTCGGTATTTACGGTGTTTTGGGCGCTGTTGGGAGAGCAGTGCAGGCCTCCTCCTTCATTTTGTTTCATTTTTTGTTGCTTCCAGTCGTGGGCGTTGGTCGCTGTCTTCTGCATGCCTGGCTTTCAGTTGCCGGCGGGTGTCGAAAACGTCGGTATTTGCAGTGTTTTTTGTCTTGGGCCAAAAGAAGCAAAGCTTGCAGCAGCAGCTGCCCAGTTGTGCCAAGCCTTGTAGGGCTGACTGAACTACAAAAGGACAGTGCTGTTGGCCGAAAAGACAAAGCCCGATGTGTGTTGCAAAAGCCCATTTCCTTTTTGTACAACCCTTCCACGACGGCGAACGAAGCGGTCACAGTCTCCCTCAAAACCAAAAAACCAAAAAGTTGGGAGATAATGGGAGGCTAGTCCCCCAGGTCCGGGTCATAGTGTCCCAATCTATATGTTGTTTTGTCTTTTTTATTTTTTGTTTTGTTCCCGAAAGCATCGCGAAGGGTTCTTCCGTGCAGAGCCCTTCAGAGAAAGTACACAGGATCAAGTACACGGAGGATCAGGTACACAGCGTTAATACATCGATTGAAGTGCAGAGTATCGAGTGCGTAGTACACCGGTGCATAGTACACAG